TTAGATAGAAAGTCATCAAGACTGAATCAATTCTCGATTTGATATCTTTTCAGAATTACATGAAGGTCGTGAGAGATAATGAATTGATTTCATTTCGAAAACAATCAAACATTTTAATACATTATGAATCTTCATCGTTTATGTGACAATTTAAGTATCAGAATGAAACATAAGCAAACATATAATGAACAAACTCAGTAAAGTCGATGAGTTAATTCATCTGAATTGAGCATTAAAATTCAATAGAATTGAAGCAATTTAACTAATTAAGATGAGACCTAGAACTTTATGAAAACTTTATTTTGTTGTAATAAAATTAACTATTTTAATGGCTGATTTTCATTGTTATTCTCTTTCTATTAATTTGAATTACGAATATTTTCAAATTTCGTTAAATTTTTCTTTTTTCATGTAATTTAGATTCTCGACTTTGACGTACATTATCTTTTCTTTTGGGGGGATATTCCAACAATTAACCATCGAATCAACAATTAACCTTGAAAAGTGTTCATTTAGTGTTTTGACTTTGGTTTTTTGGAGAATTCAATAAAATATCATCACCCATTCATCCATTTCTTTCTAAACATCTCCAGTTTAGGTTAATCACGTTTTATTACTCGAAACATTAATTCTTTAATCACTAAAACTGATTCAGTAATTATCATCACTGGTTATATTAATATATTTCACAATTAGAAGGTAAACCAAATTATGTGAAATGAGCGAAATTCATCCCTTGAAACAAAATCATGGGGATTTGAGATTCATGATTTGTGAGAATGAATTTAGAGATAATGAAAAGTAAATCTTAATCAAATTAAGTTCTTGAACCAGGAACCTGTTAATAACATTTCTCACCAGTTTGAGTAGTTAATTGTTTTAAACAATCGATTTCATTTCTATTCAACTTTTTGTTCATCGCTCAATAAATTTCATCAAATTATTAACAATAACAAGCAAATTAACAATCAATTTGCCTTATTAAATAATTTTCCAGAAGCTAATCAATCACACAAGCCAACCAACAATTTAAATATTTAATTACACTCTTATTGTAACAATAAAATTGGCTTGTTTTCTAGGTCAAAGTTAATTATAAAATCGCCTTGAATTGAAACAATAACAACAACAGTAAAAAATAATACCCAGAATAATCAATGATCAGTCGTAATTGGAGATATTCATCCATAATGTTAATTGTTAGACTGCCTTACTACCGACAGTTGATTAGTCCAAAGACTTGGAATGATGGTCATAAAGAGACGAAACTCTTGACCATTCTTATTAATTTCAATTATCGTGACTCAATCAACTCACCTTCACTTGCTCTCAACTGTTCATCTGACCATTGCCTCCAGTTTTCTCTGTTCGAAGTGTCCGAAACTTTTGGCATAATATCCCGACTTGCACCGATTCTGTAGCCTTTTTGAGTGGCAAATTTATTTGTTCCATATTGAGCCGGGATAATCGCTATATTTTAAATATTTGGAACAATTAACAACAACTAACGACAACATTTAACTATGATGAGAGTTATTAATACATCATCGTAACTAAGACTGTGGGTATGAAGTTTATTGTGAAATCAATAGGCAAAAGTAATCAGGTTAATTGGTGATGAAAGATTAGCGATGGATTTAAGTGATTATCTCGCATTCAGATTTAAATTTCAAGTATTCTAATAGTTATTAATCACACCGAAAGTCAATCGTTTTAGTTACAATGTTATTCAATCGCTTGGTGAACAATTGGGATTCTCTAAATCACAATTGTAACAACGATTAATCAAGTTAATTCGAATAACAATCAACTCTTCAGGTTAATTGTGAAGGTTTTTCATACACAGTGTTTCAATGTGTCAATTGAGTGAATATTGAGAAAGTTGAAAGTTAATCTATTAATCTATGTGAATCGAAGCATCTCAATTAGTTGTTAATATGGACTAAGTTAATTCTAATCTTGAGCACTTACATTCGGATGCTCTCAATTGTTGTTCTGACCATTCCTTCATGTTTTCCTTGTTCGTCTTATCGGAAACCTTTGGTGTTATGTCTCGAGCACCACCAATACGAACTCCCTTTTGATTGGCGAATTTGTTAGTTCCATACTGAGCCGGGATGATTGCTAATTGTTGACAATAAGAAAAATACAATCAAATTAAACTTTTTTTCGCATTCGAATCATATCAACATCAGAGTCAATTTTGATCATCATCTTCCTACAATTATCGTCTATGAGTTTCATTTCAAACTACAAAATCTGAACCTTTATGGATGCTCATGATTTCATCCCCAATTATATTGTTATTCCAAATGATTTCCAAACCAATAGACTAGTTTATGAATCTAATAAAATGTTAATCACCAATAACAAAAAGTATCTTGCATATTAATTACGAGTCTATGAAGATTTTCGAATGAATAGCAAGAGGACCAAAATTGAAGTTTCTAAATTTTTGACTTGATTTGCCTCTGTGAATCTGATTAGTTTGCCAAAACTGAAAAGCTCATGCGTTTCAATTATCTATTTATTGCCATAGAAATGAAATAGAAAAACGATCTACCCAAGACTAAATTAGGGTTACGAGGAGTAAACAAAAATCCCATTAGATTTTTACTATTACCTGGAACCTATTTTGGGAATTACATTTGCGAACATGAAAGCTACAAGTTGATCGTTTTCATCTTCTTTCCATTCAAGTTAAGCGAAAGAAAAAGTTTCTTTCACTTATTTACACACTTTCCTGGTTCTTCGTTTTCCTCATCCTCCTCTTCTCATTTTCGTCATTCTTTTCATTTCTTTTTTCTCCTCATCGACAACATTTTCCTCCCTCACTGCCACGATACAATCTTCTCCTTCATCACCACCTCCTCCTCTCCATCTTCATCATCATCATCATCAACATCACCTTCATCTTCCTACTGTTTTACTATTGTAATGAATAAGAATTCAAGCATCTTTGTTGACTCATCATCTGATTGGCAGCCAATGTTAATCCTTATTGATTGTAATCAATTCAGAAGCAAAACTAATCAACATCATCAATTATTATCTTTGTCAATCAAAAAACAAACAATTTCTGATGAAACAGTAGAAAAGGTTATAACCAGAATCTTAAAAAAGTTCTATTGTTAAAGCAAATCGAACCTGTGAAAAAATAAAACCTTATAATCTTAATATTAGTTAACGGTTTCACTTTACACTTTCGCTCATTCAAACTCTTTAATCAATTCTGTTTGTATTATCGATAAAACTGAAAGCGATTTGGTGTTATCAATATCGAATCCAACATGTAAATCGGAAAATTAGACAATTAAATTAACTGATTACCTTCGCTGGCTCGAAGAACTTGTTCTGGCCAATCTTTGATCTCTCCAGTTGGTTTTGGGCCCAAAGACGCTCCTTCCCATCCAGAATCGTACAACTAGAGACAAGAATCAATCAAAGATCGTTAGTGAGTCGGAATTTATTAGTTGGCTGTTTATTTGTTTTTTTTGCTCTTTTGTCTCAATGAGAAGAACAAACATGGAAGAGACAAAATAAGAAAGAAATGTTCAAGGTGCCAAGAATTAGAAACCTTGTCAGAGAGAGAGAGAGAGAGAGAGAGAAGAACTCAAACTACTGAGAAGGAGAAAAAGATGAAAGATGATGAAGATAATGAAAGAAGATGAAACAAATGCGACTCACTTTCTTTCCAATAGATAACATGGTAAGAACAACCTTGGGGATGTTCTTTGCTTCCCAAAGATCTTCGGGTGCGAATAATTCATCGGCAGGGATACCAAAGGACCGACAGGCATCGAGAAAAGCGTTCAAATTGGCCATATGAGCATCTTTGGTAAAAGGCTTCTGGATCTTCGAGATTGATCCAGGTCTTAAAACGTTCATTGCTCTGATTGATTAGACCGAAGAGAGAATATTTCTTAATTAATAAGAAGACATTTCATGTTGAGATTGGATTAGTTGTTCGACGCATTCACTTACCTGCAGAGTAAAACACCATCTTTGAAAAGTTCTTCGAATGGTTTTGGAGGAATACAGTCCTCGAGAACAGCTTCGATCCAAAGACCGATCTCAGATTCGGCAAACTTGTCCCGTTTACCTTCTCGAATATGCTACAATCAAGCCAATTAGATAACCAGAATCGAGAATAATTAATACATAAATTGGATTGTAAATCATTTCTACAGTTAATTAGTTTCTCTCAAATTTGTTAGTGGGGGAGAAATGTCGCAATTGCGACAATTAAGGTTAAATTGGTTTTCTTTACCTTTTCAGCTCCAAGGAAAGTTATTCCACGAGGTCCGACTCGATTGGCCATTTGGGTTGATTGTTGTCGTTTGTTTTTGATGAATTAACTGGGAAAGTAAAGTTATCACAAGACACAGAGGAGTAAAAATGAAAGAGTTCAGAGAGGATGATTCGTTGTGGAAGCTCGTAAGGCACTAATGCTAAAAATAAGCGATGGATCTGTTTAGATGAGAGAGAAAGGGGAGAGGACAGAGTGAGAGAGAGAGAAAATGGTGAAAGAGACTCGAGATTAAATGACGAAAACTCTGTAAGCCAAAACTACACCGAGAGTGTTTGGTTATCCGAAGAAAAGATTCTGAGTCTGTACAGAAAAGAGGCAATTCGAATTTAGGTTGAGACTTATTTTTGGCTTCGATTCGAAACTATTTCCTTTCTTCTCTTTCTTTTCATAGACCCACTTATGCTTCCATAAGTCACGAATTGTGGTGGTTCATTTAAAGATTTTCCGTTGATCCAGAATAAAAATATCTCTTCTTGAAATCGTTCAAATCGATTGATACTTTTTCTCGAATATTAGAAAACCTTATTTTCATTTCTCTTCAATTTCACTTCACTTTAATTGTCACCATTTTCTAAATTAAAGTTGATTATCATCAAAATTGTCAAGATTAATCAATTTGATTGGATTTAAGGAGCTGGAGAGAGAGAGAGAGAGAATTAAAATAAATCGAGTAGAAAAATTTAAAAAGTTGAATTGATGATCATTATTTTATTAATAAACTTATCGAATCAAACAAATTGATTGTAGTTTGATTTCGGCTTCAGTTTGATTGTTATATCGATGATTAATCAAAATTAATTAGGTTGACAAATCAATTTACACCAAATTGAAGGTATTTTATTATTATATTTTATAATTATTATTTGCATTATGTCAAATGATTGAGAAATTGTAGTTCCAAGAAGGCTCAACACCATGCATGTTACCATTATTACTCTTCTTCGATCTGCGTCTATCTGGAATGCCACTGGACCCAGCGCCCATGGTAGCGGCAGGATCAGGCCAAGCGTAATCGTCATAACCATAGGCAAACATACCTGGATTTGGATAGTTAGCAGCAGCTTGGCCTTGGGTTTGAAGCATACGTTTCTGTTGCTGGGCAACTGGTTGAGGCTGTCACACAGAGAAAGGGAGTGATACATTTAATTAAGATGGATCAAGATACAGGACCTTTGTAATTCAACATCACTTTTGTGGTAGTCAATAACCCAAATTGGAAGATTAAAGATTGTCCTATTAAAATAGAAACAAAGGATAGTCCAAAGTTGAAACAATCTTTTAATCACATTTTTTATCTATTGAGACGTTAAATCTACATAAAGATGATATATAAATGAAAGTCTCAATTGAAAAAAAAGAATAGTTATTGATAGTATCTATTTACATTTAATCTTTGTTACAAAATGAGTTTAGATTACCAAAGAGGAAATAAGCAAATAAGTTGAATTAAACAAAGAGAACGATCAGGAAATATCAATATAAATGGAAAGCAAAAATAGATAAGGGTAATCAACCATTGATTCTGAAAAGTTTTCAGTAGATATAGTTGTTAGAATATGTTGAAAATTCTTACCTGAGCTTTTTTGACATCACACTCCCGACCATCGATTGTTTGTTTGGATTCTTTTACAGCGACATCGGCGGCTTCTTCGTTTTCAAAAATGATGAAACAGAATTCTCTTCGCTTACCACGTTGTCTGTCGTAAGGCAATTCAATACCTTCAATTTTACCGAATTTGTTAAAATGACGACGTATTTCAGACTCAGAGGTATTGGCATCAATGCCTCCGACAAAAACTTTTTTACTGATAGGCCGTGATTTAGCCCGCTTAGGGTCAATGAGTTTATTTTTTAAGGTGTGAGGACCAGCTCTTAAAACCTATGGGGGAAAATACAAGATTGATAAGATTTAAAATCAATTACAAAATTTGACAGTGAAACATGTAAGAGAAGAATTAAAAAAATGAAAAATTCAATACTAACATTATCAATACAGTCACTTGAAGCAAAAGTGATGAAGCCAAAGCCTCGAGGATGACCTGAAACTGGATCATATTTGATGGTAACATCAAGAATCTGGCCATACTTACTGAAGTAATTGATAATATCCTCTGAACACAAAAGGAAAGAAAGACATGTCAAAGATAAATTAAAATTAGATGACACTGGGCCCAACAGAAGATGGAGGATCAAGCGAACAAGTAAATAACAGATTCAATTACAATACCTTCAGAGGTATCCCAACTCAAGCCTCCAAGAAAGAGTTTACTTTCATTGTGATTATTGTTGAAATTGGGTGGTGGTAAAACGTCAACAGCCATGTTTAATCAATTTGCAGATGGAAAATTTTACTTTAAAACAAAGGAGATCAAAGTTGAAGTAGATTAAACTAAAAGATTAACACTCTTTCGAAAAGTAAACAATTTTATATGACAAATTAATTAATTTTACAATAAACAATAATGAAATTAAATAACCTAAATCGAAGGGGGAATCAAACAAATAGTCTTAAAGCCTTTAAGACTATCTCTATCTCTATAGGCCTTTCCGTGTCCGGAGAATAGAAAACAGACACTTGCGCCATCTGGAGAACCGAAGGAACCGCCAAATTGGAATTGCTTTTCTCAAAGATCGATTTTGGAATTTCATTTGAATCAAAGATTAGCGATTGAAAGATCGATTGAATAGATCCACTGGTGAGTTCTTTTGTTGGATCGCACTACTGATGAATGAACAACGAGGTGGAATAAAGGAAAGAAAAAGAGAGAAAGGAGAAACAAAATGCACATTTCGTCGATCGTTGTGAGTCAATGGATCGGACGATTTTTGGAATTTATGAGACTCCAAGATTCTGAACAGAGATAAGGTTTTGATAATCGATTTGATTGATGAGGTGAGATGGTTTGACTGATACTTTTTGCAAATAATTTCATCGACACCGATTCCTCTAAGATTATGCCAGAAAGCGATTATTCGTTGGATGAAATTGAAGGAACTCGATCCAAAATAAGAATTGATGATTCCCCATACGAAGAAGATTCTCTAAATGATCCAACATGGCCGTTTTTTCTCAAAGTGCTTGCTTGGTATTAGAAAAGGTGAGAAGATGTCGAAAATGATGAAGAGTATGAGTTCTGTCCTTTTTCAAGGCTCGTAACAATTTCTCCAAACACTTTTCGATTCTCTTTGTTGTCAATGGGCTTTGGTCGAGGGCTTGAGTGTAACAACCCATTGTTGCCTTTTTCCTCATGTTGATAACCGTCATTACCCTTTGTTGGTGCATTGAGATCAATTGTCGCCTCTCAGCTGATCCTTCTTCCTCCAGGGTTTCAACTGTCTTCTGTCATCGAGATGACATAAACTCAGTCCTTCGGGTCTCTTGATACAATCACCTTCAGAGAGGCTCAAGTTTTGTCCATGCAAATAGAAGAGAGATTACGATCAAATATGATTACCTATTAATCGGCCATAGGAATTCAATTAATTACAGATTTCGATTGTTGGTGTTCATTTGGATCATTGATACCAAGAGAATACGTTGATCTGTATCACGGCCTTTCATCTTTTGGACTTTCGTTTTCTTCATTGATTGATTTCTCTCTTAAATTTTTCTCTATGAAATTAATCTTCTTTCATTGAAATCCTGCAAAAAGTGATAAATGACACTAGATAGATGAAAGAGGAAATAATAATCGGTGTAGCGATTAACCAGAATAGAGATCCACGTGTGGAAAATGATTCACTGTAATCAATTTCCATCGAAGGAAGAACCGGAACAATCAGAATTAGAAAACTATAAATCAATAATACGACAACAGTAACGAGCAAAATGGCCGTTCCTATCGGTCGATCCAAATTCTAGAGAAAAGTAAGATGAGACAAACAATTAAAATCCCTCAGAGAACTTGATTCATCATCTCAACCTACCATTCTAACAATTCATTGTGAACTAATCCACTGAGATCAAAACAAGTGAAATGATCTGCTCATCTGATTAACATGAAATCGGCACAAATAAACAGGAAATTGTTTCCGATAAATTGCGAACATTTAAAACACTTGACACAAATCATAATTTTATTTGCCTTTACGGTTGACACACAGCTGAACTTCAGCTGCTGAAGTAATAAGTTATTACTCCTCTAGAGGCAAAGAGTAAAACCTACTCTTTGTTTCCCACTATTAATTTGTGAGCCAATATTTTGTTAATTTAATCTTTTCTTAGTAATTACAAGAAATTGTGTTAACTTTCTCAGTTGGAATGGAAATCTGGGTAAGTAGATTGTCAGTTTTGTTTAAAAGAACATGAGACATTTTTCCAAAATACCAGAAAATAGAAAATATTTATTGAAATTTTAAATGATAACAAGATTGACAATGTTGAGCTTTTGCATTGGCTTGATTTTGTAAAAATATATACACAATAAGAATATTTTTTATTGGAAATTTTGATTAACAATGAATAGAAAACTGTAATTAGTTGATTAGATGAGACAATGTCTCAAGTTTCATCAAAAGAATAGTTTTTGACTACCAGATGATCAATTGGTTCTAATTTTTCTTCATTTTCTCTTTCTTTCTCAGCAGATTCAACTTGAGATGAAACTGTTGGTCCCGATGAACACATGGGAACCTTTTCCTTTGGCGGTTGAAGAGGATTCGTTTGAAGCTCGGTGACTACATTGTTGGTGGTGGAAAATGGCTCTGGAGATATTGATTGTGGTTTCCAATTGGTGTATAAATTGGTGAATATCGTATCAACATTTGGCTTTTCTCTGGAAAAAAGTTCATCATAATTGGCGTTAGAAACTGCATTTATCATAGGCTTTGGCTTCGAAGATGATGGTATCAGTGCAGGCAGTGGTAACGGCATTGTCTCCAACAGAGATGCCAAATCGTTGACGTACATCAGGTCACTGAGGTTACGATAGATATGAACCGGATGTTGGTTGGTCAAACCAGGTTTAAGAAGAGCTGTTGTTACTGAGGTCATTTCAGAACCTTCATCTAAACTCTCAGTGCTTCCAGTTTGATTGCTCGTCTCTGCGCTAATTTGATCTGTTATTGAATTTACTTGAAATTGCTCCTGGTGAGCCTTGGCAACTCTCTGGTGATTCATTTCCGTTCCTGCAGATGAGCTTAAAATAACTGTGAATATGTTGGCGGTGGTGATCCGTTAATAGATTTGGTACAATGAAGACGAGACCCATTGTTTCGACCAGTATTCACAAGCGCAGAAAACATTTGACCATATTGATGGTCAATATCACTTTGTCGAGGTCTACATTGCTGGTCAAAAGAATGACTCAAGCCACAAGCACCTGAACATCCAGGAATTGGTATTTCGTAACCTTCGTGATCAACTGATATGTTGAGGTATTTTGAATGGACGCTCTCAGCTCGAGATGAAGCACAATAAGTTGTCGCTGTGTCCATGGTACTATTGAAAGCACTATTGAAACCACTAGAGTCTCCACAGGTAGAAAATCTCAACTCTGAAGATGCTCCTGTTAGGAACGAAGAAAATTAAAATTAGAACGAGAAATATACTAATAATTTGCGGTGTTCGTCAAACTAAGTATGTACAGTAAAAGCTGATATTCTATTAACAAAGAATCAAGCGAAACCGGAGAGCATAAGCTCTACGATAATTTCAATTCTTTTAAATCGCATGTTTCGTATATTTTCATGTTCGAAAAGTGATTAATTAAGCAGATAAAATGTTGATTACTTTGACCCGAAGGTTTCACCGGTTATTGTTAGAGATCCAGTTGATGATTAGATGATCATCAAGCAATTGGTTAAACTACGATGTAAGGAAAGTTAACGCTTTGGATATCGTTTAATGGCCTAGAGAAAAGTCGATCTTCCAAATAGAATCCAAAATTATCAAAGGCTCCTGCAGGGGAAGGTTAAAACGCACCAACGAACGTCAATGTGTTAGATTTTATCGACATTATATTAGATGGTTAATCGACAATCAAAGAAAAATTAAAGGAAACAAAAAGCGAGACAAACACTGGACATCACAAAAGCATAAAGCAACAGGGAATTTGTTAATTGTGATCGAGAGAGAGAAAAAAGTGCAACTTGAACGTAAATCTAATGATTTACATTTTTCGAAACAACATGCGATTTAAAGACACCAGAATATCCAATTAGATTAAAAAAAAAGAAAAGAAAGTGCGATAATCAAGACGATTAATTAAAGAGGGAGATGGAGATTGGATTCAATAAAATCTTGATGGTGCAAAAGTAAATTAACAAACAAGCAACTGATTTACCGTTGGTGTAGTAGCTGTGGTTTGAAAAACTTGTGATGATTCCGTCTCCTGATGACAATTTAAGTTTTAATTCCTCCAGATAATTGAGACAAGACATAAATGTTGGTCTCATGTCTGAATTGTAACACCAGCATTGATTCATCAAAAGGAACCTATTGAGAGAGAAATCAATCAAATTAAGAGTTCAGTTTATTCGACTCGGGTGATTTTAAACACTTACATCTCCTCTAAACAGTTTGGTGGCCTTTCAGGTCGACCACCACTTCGAACATGGTTCAATACTTCTTGATTACTACGAGCTGGGTATGGTTGTTGACCTAAAGTCATAACTTCCCAAAGTAGAACACCGAATGACCAAACATCCGATTGGGTCGTGAAATGGCGTAAACTAAACTTCCGGGGCCATCCATCGAACTGGCAGCAAACCTCGCCCTCTTTACGATAATAATCATTTTATAAATATCTCGAGCTAGACCAAAGTCACCGATTTTAACGATTCTTGATTCACGGTTTTGCTCGAAACAAGACAATTTCGAGCGGCCAAATCTCTGTGAACAAAGTGCATCGCTTCCAAATATTGGCAACCTTTAGCAACATCACACAGATACTGAGAAGATCATCTAAAGTCAAATCACACTGTTTTTTTCTGTCGGTCTCTCATCTCGAAGATACGAAAGAAGATCGCCCTCCATGAGCTCTAATAAAATGGAATTATTTCCCGGATCAAGACAAACACCAAGAACTTTAAGAATGTGTGGATGTTTGAAGTTCCCCATGATTTTAGCTTCTTTCATGAAATCATCTTTTTCTTGTTCTGATGCATCTGATTTTAATTTCTGTGAAAAAATCAACTCAATTAGTGTTATTAATGGTATAATTGATCAGCCATTAGAATTAAAGAGAATTACCTTTATCGCAACGGGCAATGAAGCATCGAGGCCTGACAAGCTCAGGATCAGTGAACAAGCCACGAAATACTTGACCAAAAGCTCCACAACCCAAACGATCTGTTTGTTTGAATTGACTTGGTGAAATTAATCTGATAGACGACAATTCATTTTCTATTCCAGTATCTCTGTTAATAATAATGATGAACGAGTAATCAAATGATTATTTTCTTTGATCAAGTATCTTTTGTGAATCGTTTAAATTGTAATAAACTTACCCTGGTAGATAGAGTCTATTGTCTTCATGGGGATGATCTGGAAGTTGGGTCAAGCTGATTAGATTTCGTTCATGTCCTCGTTCAGA